TTGAACCGACAACCCTCTGATTGGAGGACGACCGTGCTCCCCACTCACCCACAGTCGAGTTGTAGAAAATCTGACGGTAGTCTATGGCTATGTGTTGAAATTAAACTCAAAGACCCAGCGTGACGCTTTACCTTTGCCTCGCATTGACGAATGTTTTGTGCAAAATTCTTTTTGACTATTGACCTTGCTAGCAGGTACCATCAGGTTGCAGTGCATGATGATAAGCATAAAACGGCCTTTGCAACACGCTTTGGGTTGTACGAGTATTCTCGATTCACTGTTATCACAGATAACAACCCCTTGTGTCATCTAAATACCGCCAGATTAGGCGCCATCGAACAGCATTGGGTAGCTCAGCTAGCAGTGTTTGACTTTGAGCACCGGCCAGGGTGCTGTAATACAGCTGCAGATGCCCTCTCTAGGCAGCCGTTAGCAAGGGAGCCCCAACCGCACCCTGATGACTTTGATTTTGATGGATGCGTAGCCATCTGTAATGTAAGGAGGGACACAGCTTTAGGGCAAGAACTGGGGACTACAGGGACCAAGTGCTGTAGGGTGGGACAGGTACGTGCCTCAGAGGCTGTGGATGGTGGGAATGACTGGCAGGGTAACACCCCGACTTTGCCTGGGTACTCTACGGAAGAGCTTTGTCAATTTCAAAGAACAGATCCCACTCTGGGAAAAGAAGCGGAAACCCACCTGTAAGGAGAGGACAAGGTTAACCAAGGCTGTCGTGTCCTTATTGAGGCAGTGGCACCAGATCAAGGAGAGGGATGGGTTACTCTACCGTGTGATTGATGATGTCCATGTGGGTGAATGTCACCAGCTCCTGTTACCCAACAGTTTGAGAGGACCAGTCCTAGAGAGTGTACATGATCAGATGGGGCATCAAGGAATAGAACAAACACAAAATCCTCTGAGACATAGGTGTTTCTGGGTGGGAATGTATGATCATGTCGAACAATGGGTCAAAAATGTCAGAAATGTGTCCTCACCAAAATGCCACAACCCAAGATACATGCCCCTATGAAGTCATTTTTGGCTACACGACCTCTAGAAGTGGTTGCTGTGGAGTTCACTGTCTCAGAGCCTTCTTCAGATGGCAGAGAGAGCGTTTTGGTTGTGACAGATGTGTTCACCAAGTTCACCCAAGCTTTCCCTACTTGTCATCAGAAAGCAAACACTACTGCCAAGATCCTCCTTCAGGAGTGGTTTTTGAAGTACGGCGTTCCCGAGAGACTACATTCGGACCAGGGTCGAAACTTTGAGAGTGAAGTAGTTACAGAACTATGTAAACTGTATGGTGTAAAGAAAACTCGCACCACACCTCATCATTCACGGGGAAATGCACAATGTGAAAGATACAATAGAACACTCCATGATCTCTTGCATACTTTTCCCCCAGAGAAGAAGAGGCGTTGGCTGGAACACCTAGCTGAGTTAGCCCATGCATACAACGTGACACCACATGCTACTACTGGTCACTCAGAAATGTGATTGGCTAATGGTACATCAGCAGCGCCTCAAGGAAGCCCATGCGAAAGCTCAAGAATATGCTGAGCAGAAAGCAGCAGAAAGGGTTGAATTGGACAAACACAAGGTTTACTGTCCCCCGATTAATGTGGTTTAGTTAGTGTACCTTCGCCACAGACCCCAAGTCAGGAATAAGATCCAAGACGCTTGGGGCCCCATTGTTCATAAAGTAGTGGATGTACCACTCATAGGCACCACTCATACTGTAGAGCCTGTAGAGGGGGGTCCAGTTAAAAGGGTCCATAGGACAAATCTCAGACCCTGTGTGGGGCCTGTTCCTGCTCCTAGGAGAGTGAAAGTAGGTGCCCCTACCCTTCTTCTGAGCCTGTCCCAGACTATGAAGAATCTGAGTATGTAGTGTTGAAGGAAGTTCCTTCTACAAACCTTTGTCAAGAAAGGGAAAAGGATGTTGTCTCTGCTGATCAGGACAGACTGGAGACGGAGCCTACAGAGAGTATTGAACCAATGAATGTGACATCTTCTGAGGGGGAAACTAATGTAAAAACACCTGTTCCTACTATTGTAAATAGCTCTGATATGGAGGCAAATCTCCCTCCCCACAGGTGGTTCTATCGGATGGTCTGATTAGGGTGTCAGGCAATTGGTGTTTTGCATTTTGAGGAGTTTCTGTCGAGGCCAATCATCCTTTTGTCTCCTAAATGACGGGGGAGTGGTCTGCGCAGCCGAGTAGAAATTAAATTCCTCTCCCAGACCTAATCTTGCCAGCGTGCATCTCTTCTACAAGGCCATCAGACATCAGGCGACCTGAAATCGGACTAAGTATCTTTTTCTTTAAACCAAGCTAGTCTGCTAAATTTGTTGTGCCTTAAGTTAATTTGATTGCTGATTTGCTTTAGTTCTTGCCGTTTTACTGCCAGTTCTCTCTGTTTGAGGTTATCTTGGTTGCTAGTTTGTTTAAACTCTTTCACTTTTTTACTGCCAGTTGGTGATCTAGACTGTACTATTAAGTTAACTGCCAGTGTGCCCTCCTAACTCTGCTAGGTTGGACATGATCTAAGTCTGTTTTGCCTTCTCTTCTTAATCAAATAAGACTTGAATCCTTAAACTCTCAGTTTGTCAAAATGCCACATGGTGATTGTTCACTCATTTCCCGGAGCTCTTTCACCAGAGATTTCACCAGAGATGAGCTCTTGAACATCCGTGGAACAACTCCAGCGGAGTTACTGCTACTACGGGAGTTCCTCAGGGTTCCGTCCTGGGTCCCCTTCTCTTCTCGCTCTACACCAACTCTCTCGGCGCTGTCATTTGCTCGCATGGCTTCTCCTACCACAGCTATGCCGATGACACCGAACTAATTCTCACCTTCCCTCCTACGGACACTCAGGTGGCGGCACGGATCTCTGCCTGTCTGACTGACATCTCTCAGTGGATGTCCGCTCACCATCTGAAAATTAACCCCGACAAGACTGAACTACTTCTCTTTCCGGGAAAGACTCTCCGACCCAGGACTGTTACGGCGCTAGGGCCACAAGGGTTTAGACTCAAAAGCAGACTCAAGGCGTAGTAGTCAGAGGCAAAAATAGTGTTTACTTCTGGCAGGGGTTCGGTACACGGGTAGTGAGAGAGAGAAGGTGGATCAATCCAAATCGGCAGGCAAAGGTTGACGAAGGGACAGAAAAGGGTCAAAACACGGAAAGGCACACAGAATCGTGGGTACGCTCATTCGGAACAAAGAGACAAATTGGCAGAGAACAAGCTGTTGCCACAAAGTAAATACACAGGAGAACGAGACACAGGTGGAAATAATAGGGGGGGGCTTGCAATCACAGAGGGCGGTGGCACACAGGGAGGAGGTGTCTGAAACGAGAGGGAAAGGTGAGTGACACAAACACAACAGAAAACAACATGTGACCTAATTCCCCAGTCTGGGTGTTACAAGGACCTGACGATCAACTTTGGCAACTCCGTGCTAACGCCCACTTTAACCGCTAGGAACCTCGGCGTCACAATCGACAGCCAACTCTCCCTGACTCCCAACATCACTGCAACAACACGATCCTGTAGATACTCGCTCCACAACATCAGGAGAATGCGTCCTCTTCTCACTCAGAAGGCAGCGCAGGTACTGATTCAGGCTCTTTTCATCTCCCGCCTGGACTACTGTAACTCCCTCCTGGCAGGTCTCCCTGCTACCGCCATTCGACCTCTCCAGCTCATCCCGAATGCAGCAGCTCCATTGGTCTTTGACCTTCCAAAATTTTCCCACACTCTTCCACTCCTCTGCTCTCTTCACTGGCTACCAGTGGCTGCCCGCATCCAGTTGAAAAAATTGGTGCTCACATACCATAGTGTGAATGGATCAGGTCCAGCTTACATCCAGGACATGGTGAAACCCTACATCCCAACCCGCACTCTCTGCAAAACTGCTCGTCCCTCCCTCACTGAGAGCAAAACACTCGACTAGATCACCACTCTTTGCTGTCCTGCTCCTAAATGATGGAACGAGCTCTCTGAAGACATCAGGACCACAGAGAGCCTTCACGTCTTCCGCCACAAACTAAAGACACACCTCTTCAGACTCTACCTCGACTAAAAGACTAACAAATTGTAGCACTTAAATTGTACTTATAACGCCACTCATCTATAGCAAATTGTAAATTGGCTTATTTGAGGAAATTGCACTTTCTTGTTTCTTGTTCTTCTGATTTTGTACTCTATGGTTGAACGCACTTATTGTAAGTCGCTTTGGATAAAAGCGTCAGCTAAATGACATGTAATGTGGTTGCCCCTGCAGTGGTCTTGCTGTGCGCCTGGTTTACTACTCACAATTACTTGAATCATTCCTGTCATATAATTGCATGTATTATACATTGTTCATTCTGTACACATGGCATCCATTGTAGTCCGTCCATCCTGGGAGTGGGATCTCTCCTCTGACGTTCTCCCTAAGGTTTCTTCCCTTTTTTTCCCTCTTGAAAGGGTTTTTTCATTTTTTTGGGAGTTTTTCCTGTGCCGATGGTGGGTTGCGGGACAGAGGATTTTGTATGTGTACAGACTGTAAAGCCCTCTGAGGCAAATTTGTAATTTGCGATTTTGGGCTATACAAAATAAAATTAATTGAATTGAATTATATGATTTACATGACTTTACATTGTGTTTGATTCATCTTGCATTCACTTTATCTAAACTTGTTAATGTAATAACTAATATCTAAGAACACACAAACTACAATTTATATCACTAGGTGTGCACTTCTACTTAAATCGCTAAAAACACCTATTGGTAGTAATGACAGAAAGGGCAGACTTTGTGGAAGCAATTTTAATCATTGAAATTGGAATTTACAGAACTGACCATTAGTTTAGTTTGTGGCTTAAAACTACCAGAAAATAGCGCGAGTGATAATTATTAATCTATGGACAAATCAGATAGGAGAGCATGTTTGATGCTGGCGTCAAATGGTTCAATAGAAAGACCACAAAAGACATTACAAGAGGAAACAACTATTCAAAGATGAAGTAACTTTTAATGAGTCAGAATCACCTTAAAAGTTCACCGCATCTCATCTTTTGAAAAATACATTATACAAGTCGTCAAATTATTTTAATACATAGTTATAAATGATAATATGGAGACAGATATACAACACTTTACCCGGGGAGAGAGAGCGGGAGCAGGAGAAAGACTTATTATGAATGAATTATTATGTAATTCAGTGTCTTCAGAGTAATGACAGCTTTATTAATGTCAGCTTAAATACTTTGTATGAGAAACGTGATGCATGACAAGAAAAATCCGAGGGTCTTGAGCAAGTCATTTTGATTAAATACCATGGGAAAAAAACAGTAAAGCTAAAGAAAAAAAGAAAAATGAATGTGATGTCATGAGCCAACCAGGTGAAGCATAAAAAAAGACTCTCAATCAGCAGTGTGGATGCACGGGGCAATAAAGTCTATGATAAATAAATAAACAAACCAACGACTTCCACACACATTGACGTGACTCTCTAGGTCGTCTTCAACGAGTGCATCGACGCAACGACGCAGACGCAGAAGCATGCACCATCCTTGAGTCCTAAAAGTGGAAGTTCACAGAACAGAAGGCATTCTTGCACCAGCAGTATGGACAGTACAATTTAATTTGACAAAGCAAAGAAGTAATATGCTCCATTTTTTCTAACTCATTGATGATTAGAAACTCCTCTCTGTTGCTGCCTCATTTGCAATTTGCAATGTAGCCTTTAGGGCATGTTCTACTTTCCAAGTCCCCGTGTCCGCATGGACCCCATTAGCTTGCAAATATTGCAAGTGCAGCTTGCCACAGACTAAAATGTGCATACCTGGAATACAATGAAACCACAACTTTCACAGTGATGAATGTATATGCAATATACCATACTGATCCATCACATGTGTGTTTCTACATTCTCCAATATAATTCTCCACTGGGGTTTAAGAGAAGAAGCTGTTGTTTGTTGCAAATAGGACCAAAACGCTATCGGCGCTTACAGTAGTGACCCTTCCTTGCCCAGGGTTAGAGTTAGGGTCATCTCCATTTGCATTAGTACTCCTCATTCATGAAATACAGCTGATTAAATATGGTTACAGTTAAACCAGGAAACAGCCAATCATGATTAAACTAGTTAAGGTATCATACAGTACTTCTTAAAAGGGATAAGACAAAGAGGCCCGAGGAAGCTATATGATTCAATGCAGCGCACAAAAGCATTGGAATCTGATTTACCTACAATGTCTGATATCTGCGCATAAGCTCCCCTTCAGTGTCTGTATGAGAGGGACCAGGTTCTGGGAACACAACTGCGTGATTAGTTGACAATCTGAGAATAAGACTGAAAAAGCCCACCTGGGTTAAGCGGAACAAGCAAACACGGGAGTTTCAACCAGAAAGTGGTGTTGGTGTCCCAAAGGGTCCTGTGATTTAGTTGGATCGTTAGTGATTTTTTCAAAATCCAACTTTTCTTGCATGAACTTAAAAGTTTTTGAGACATAAAGGTACACAACAATCAAACAGCACTGAATATTATGACATTTTTCAGACCCTGCTTACCCTTAGTCTCTTTTCTGACCCATTCTTTTCCATCACACAGATGACACATTAATACAGTTATGGCTATAATTTGGGACGAAAGTGGAGCAATGGCTTTTCATTTTGCTGTTACAAACATAATAATAAAGTAATAGTGCTTTCTTTCGAATCGTGATAATTTACAAACCAGAGGGGAAAACTGTTAGAATGAAAATAGATATTTAACAAGAATGTAATAAAACAAAACGTTTTAAAGACCCTAAAACGCCCAAATAAAAGATACAATTTTTGCTTACTTGGTGAAGAACCACTTAGTGGGGGTTAGGCTACCATTTTCCCCAGGTCCCCCGCTTTATCCTAAATAGGTTAAATACAGCAAATTGAATGCAATAGCTTTTCCAGACTGAGTGGTCAGTGGCAAAAAAAGTAAAATGTTTAAAATCAAACACTGTCCCTGATTCTAGAAAAGCACTTGAACTAGAAGCAGACTAACAAATCAAGTCCAATAACTTCACATATTTCTTCTGTGTCCTGACACATTACCAGCAAATTAGCAACTAAAATAACAATGAACAGAAACGATTGTGATGTGGATTATCGGCAGAAAAGTTAACTATATAAATTAATATACAGTAATTACATTTGGAAAGAAAGATTACCAAAATATCTATTGGCTTCCACTGACAACATATCAATAAGCTAAAAATAATAAAACTCAAGAAAAGGAAATAAGTTAACATATCTCAAGACGTAGAGATTTACAGTATATACATTTTTAGAAAGATTGTTTTCTTTGATGGACAGGTCCATCTTTCTGCTTGTTCAGATGTTCTGTTGCCATGCAGAAATTGTGGCTCGTTGACGTCAGAGTGGATCCAAGTGTGTAACACTACACAAAAAGGCTTCTTCTGAGTAATCCTTGAAGGCTTCCTCCCAGCCAATCGCTTGTTTTAGTAGTGATCAGTTCTGTCCTACCAAGTGGCAGACTATTCCAATGGCTTTGGAGCATGGCAGAGGTCCACTCATCGATTTGAAATAAAAATAAATGAAAAATATATAGAATACCTTCACCTTGGGTAGTTCCAACATTCTTGTCAAACTGCAAAGGCTATAAAAAAGCCTTCTTTGTTGCTTTTCCTCCCAGCGGTAAATTATTTTTCTTTCATTTTCAACATTTTATTCTTTTGATTTTTTTTTTCTTGCATTACATTTGCTGTGGTGAAAGTTTGTAAGAAAAACAAGGAAAGTTTACAGCTAGTGTACATTTCTTTAAGCAAGTAAACAAAATGTAAAAGTGCTCTTATTTCGAAATACTTTTTTTTCAGTCTCTTTAGAAAGAAGAAGGAGGCACTTAGGTCCATCTCTATGGCAACAGACAGTCACTGAAGCCACACTTCCAGGCTCAGGTTTGGAAGGTCTGGTCGGGCTCCTGCAGAAATCACAGCTCAGTGACTTCAGGTCCAGAAGGTTTATCAGTGAAGGCTTGACAAATGAAAACACAGAAGCATTGGAATTGTACTAAACACACAACGGCTGCTGCACAGGACATGTTTGACCGATGTCATCAATTTCTTGACCAGTGTTGAAAAAATGAAATTTGTCGTACACATGGTCGAGTAAATAGTCCTTCTATCACTTATTTATGATGAGAATGCTTGAGAATTTTGATTGGTCAGCATTATAGCTATTTTCTTTGGATTTCGTATCTGGACCATTCCGGTTTCAGCCTGAAGGATGCAGCCGGTTTCAGGAGTGGGCATGCTAACAGAGGTTGCAAATATGACATAATGCAGCACTTAAATTCCTCTATCTGGAGTTATAATAGGAATAATCCATCAAAGATTACCAGGAGACAATTGTCTCATACCCCAATTTTCACCCTCACAGGTTTACGTCATGACGATCTGAAGAACATTTGCCATTAACACTCAAATTGAGTTCAACCCGACCAAGCATTGATGTAAAGTTTTAGACAAATAGACGAGCCTGGACAAAAATAATAATGAACAGAAATAATTTTGATGTAGATCATCTGTAGAAAAGACATGACTATTTAAAGTAAATAGACTGTAATTACATTTGTTAATATTTGTTAACCTTCTCCATTCCACAGTGGCACTCAAGTATGGTTTTTGGTGAGAGGACCAAGCAATAGTATAATCCAAATGAGGCCCAGAAATTAAGATGGCTCCAATTTAGGGTTTGTTGAATCTAGCTAGGTTGCACCATTGCCTGACGTACCAATGGACACATGGTTGTTAGGGGGAGATCGATACAACATAGCCAAGTCAAGCCAGGTCCTACCAGGCTACAGCAGGCTTTGATGGCTTTCTGATTCAAGATAACCAAAGCTGGTGTGATTGGGTGAGTGAAACGATGACATGATGGTGTCTAAACAATTAGGAGAAGAAAACTAACCACACCAGACGTGTACAATCAGGGTTATTCAGTTTAGTCAAATCTTCATAGTGTTTTAGTCATGAGTTCATTCACAAAGGAGCGAGACCATTTAGGTAAGGTCCTCGATCCACATGGTTCTATCTCAGACTACGAGCCAGACTTCTACTTCAAGGCAATCCATTTCCTTCTGACTAAGTTTACTCTGTTCTATTCTAGTGAAGATCTAGTCCAACCCAAAATGCATACAATTCCTTCCCCTTGTGTTGATTCCTATCCCAGTATGTCAAGATAGACCGGTGTGGCTTTCATCAGAGTGAACAGTATCTTCTGAATGTCTTTGACGTTGAGGCGCTGCTGTGGCTCCCTCTGCCAACAGCCCAGCATCATGTCATAGACTTCCTTGGGACAGAGCCTGGGACGCTCCAGTACCCGGCCCTGGGTGATGCACTCTATCACCTGGGAGGACAGAAAGACGCACTGTTAGACTTTTACTTTTACTAACTATTATACTGTCATGTACACTGCAATAACAGTTATATAAGTTCTGTGTGTATATATATATATATATATAATATCTTTCTGTATACAGTACATATTTAAATGAAGTTAAGTTATGAAGGTGTTAAATAACCAGTTATTTATAATCTTCTACTAAGCATGTTTGCACTTTAACTTTAACGCTGTAATCCTGTGAACTTTCCAAGTGCAAAAATAATAAAGGATTTTCTTATCTCATCTCATCTTATCTTACGCCCCTCATCAATGACCAATTTTGTTGAACATTTTGCCCACCGCCCTGGATTCAATTTAAATAATCCATTTTGTATGGTTCTGGTCATGCAATTAATAAAGAGGAATTGCTCTCTATTCTCTTTTAAACAGCTCATACATGTTGTATCTTATAAAAGCAATTTGTCCTTTTCATAGGGTATGACAACTGCCACAATATCACACCTTTCCAGTTAAACCGAATACACAAGACATAGAGATTTGCTGAGATCACTGGGGTGAATCCATCTTTCTGATTTCCCATGAGAAATCAATACAACTGACAAAAAAAGGGATTTAGAGCCTTAGCAGACGGAGGGAAAAGGGGTTGTTGGGGCCGCAATAAGAATACATCTGAAATACTTTCTTCCTGAGTGCACTGTTCGGATTTAATGTGCAGGCTTCACATCACTTGATCCACTAAGATTCCATTTACATTTTTAACAGGAATGGCTTAATCTAGTCAGGTTTTGCGTCATAAGTTGTTCCGCAGATCCTACAGTTCAAAATGACATGACTTTTAAAAATGGATGTCAGTTTTATGAGCCACGGGAAAAAGTCATTCAATGACCTTATAATAAAGTCAATAAAATAGATTTTGCAGGACTATTAGTATTTGAGATGGGCTGTAGACAGACCAACATATGGACACATATGTATGGATGCACACACGACACATGATCTCCCTGCTTGCGCCTGGCAGAAGCAGCCGGTGTGTGCAGGAATATCAAAACAGGACCAATGATGTTTGCAAAGGGTAGAAACCTGATAAAGTTGTGATTGTACTTCTGTGATTCAGATCTGTGTGTTTCATACTGTGTAACTTTCCTGTTTGTTGTGCTGATATCAGTGAGATTTCCCCAGAAAACGCAACAAAAGTCTGCTTCGATTTAGGCGTGTTGATGAACGCGTACTGACTTAATTTCTACCACTAGTTCTTCAGCTTGTTGCAGATTTGGTCTAGCTTTTTTTTTCTGAAAAAAATGTGCCCACTTATAGTAATCCCATGTAATAGAGGGCAATCTAACTACCAGTTTTGGAGCATATTTCCCCTTCCCAGCGGAAAAAAGACTTGTCCCTTATCAATGCTGATAGAAATCAATGAATCTGATTGTGCTCTAGAGGATAAAGGAACTAGTACCAGGAAGAGATCTTTCTGCACAACTGCCTAAACTTCTACATATCTCCTTTTCTCACTTACAGAGAACTGAATGGTAGCTCTGCCACAGTGAATGTGACAAGTTCTAACTATTCATTTCAGGGTTTATTATTTCCGATGTTTTTCTTAAAAAAATGTTATTGGTAACCCTTAAACGGAATCTCACTGCTTCCGTGGGTATATTTAAGGCTAGAAGGAGGAAGTCATCTGTTTAATACGTTTAATTTCAATCAGGGAACGTTTTATGCTGTGTTCCACTTGCTTTTTAGCTAATTAGTCCCAGATGTAGTCGGCTCCAGTTATCTGTTTGTAAAACAATATTCAGGCGGGAATGAAAACCTTCAGTTTCAGTTTGCATCTTTCACTCAATGCCAGTAGTTCTTAAAGTGATTCTGACTGTTGGAGGAAACATTTCAGAGGTGCAGCTTTTCAAAAGAGAACAAAAAAAATACATTTACTCAAAATGGTTGAAGAACAACTTCCAAATTACTTACTGAATAGGTGTCTTAGCCAAATGTTACAGCGATGGTAAGAGGTTAAAAAAGTGTACAACGTAAACTCCCATTCACGCCACTAAATTGTCCAAGAGAAATATTAGATAGAACATGATCTCAGTGTCCCCAGTGACCCACTGACGGGGCAAGAAGGTCCCAGGTACATTTTTATTGTAGTTAACATAAAATATGGCCAACCCCACAAATAAGATCCCGTTGTTATTTTTGGTTAATGGAAGTCATATAACTTCCATACCAACTTCTTAAAACAGACTTCTACCACACAGCGTACCTCATTATTGGCGAGCTGGAACCACGGCTGTTTGCCGTAAGTGAAGATCTCCCAGAGGATGACTCCGAAGCTCCAAACGTCACTCTCCGTGGTGAACTTCCTGTACATGATGCTCTCAGGAGGCATCCAGCGGATAGGCAGCATGGTGTGACCTCCCACCTTAACACACACATAGAAGAAAGAGGCTTTAGAGATGAGCATGAAATATGTATGTTAAAGTGTGTGATGAATATCTTACCCATGATGCCTTTGGGGGATGATATCGCCATCATTGAAACGCCACAGTTATTAAGGGACACACACAAATTAGTCAAACTTATATGTTGGCTCATACAATGCCAATATTTTGCAAGTAACAGGCAAATATTATATATTGACAATCCCTGGTTTACAATTTGGAATCGATATTGGGATTTATATAAAAAAATTACATTTCATTATATTTACAAAACAGTAAGTGACTTGACCTTTTGGGCTGAAATCTCAGCTAGAAAAACGGTGTGTATTGTTAAATTGTCCCAAAACGGGTTCTTAGGGAGACCCTTTCTTCTGAAAAATCTGTTATAAATACATACACCATTTTACATAGTGTTCAAATCAGTTTCTTCTTTTCCTCGCTTCTTCTACAAATTATGGACATTCTTTTCCAAATTTGGTAAAGAACAAGCCTGAAACTCTTCTGGTTTCAGGCAGTTTATGAGAAATGACTCTACTTCTCCATTGGTTTATTATCTCAATAAATATTGTGAACGTGGGTGAAGCATAGGTCTAAGGCGCTAGTTCAAGGTCACTTGAATACAGCATGATTTTCAGTAATTAAACTGAACTACTTAGAGTCAAATAGACCACACGGGGGGGTGCGTTGGGTACATTTAGAATTGACATGTTGCTACCAGTGCCATACATGTCTTTAGATGGTAAATCTAAAGGCCGGTCGCTATCTTGGTCTCGCCAGCTCCCAACCAGGCCGTGCTTTTTCTATGGAAATGTCTATGTTGTCGACCATGTAACAGTAGGGGGGAGAAGCCCTTCTTGTTCACCTACTTCTCTCCTGTTTTACAGTTAGGGAGTTAGGTAAGATTCTTGTACTTTTCTTTTGTTGGGGGAGGGGACGGTTAGGGAGGTAAGATTTTGGTAAAGATTGTTTGTTGTTTCTTGTTTTGGGCAACGCTGACCCTGACGCCTATTTGTAAGCAGCACTGTTGCTTATTTGGGAGTGGCAGGGCAGGAGAGCGCCACCCATAGGTACACATGCAACACCCTCTGTCCCGGAACCCCCCCATCTGCACAGGGAACACTTTGCCCCAAAGAAAAACCTTAACAGGGAGACAAAAAAGAAAGAAAACTAAAAGTAGAACCCTCCTCCAGGTTGCAGTGCAATTTCCTCCGACCATATAAATCCCTTAATTCACACATTCACACCCTCTTCTACACTGATGGGGTCCATTCACTCATTTCCCGCATGAACTTGGAGTTAAGTGTCTGTGTGACGCATCGATGTGGAGGAGCAGTAAAAGGGAACCAAGCGCCAAACCTCTGAGTGACAATTGCCCTCGACCACAGTGACCCTCCATTTCTGTGTAAACATGATCACTTCCATTTACTTGTAAAAAAGATGACGATGGCCAAAATACACGATGACAATATAAAGTAGTGAATCTTAAGCTTCAGAAATGCTGTACAATGGGTGACGAAGGAGGTCCAAGGACGTTGGGCGGGCTGTAAATACCAAATTGAATCCAAAATGATGATGATGAGGATCCAATAACATAAAAACAGTTGAAACATACACCAGGCTGATTCGGTCTTGGCTCTGGCTGAATATTCCCCTTCAATCAAACATGAGTAATGGTGAGGATATGAAAAGACGCGCGGCCCAGAATGTCTTCTCCATTATCTGACAGCGTGTACAACAGACAGACTGGATCATTATTCATCTGCTCCCGCCTGCTCTCCAACTGCTGTGAAATCATAAAGCATCTCCTAATCACGGTTCCCATAATCGATGACCTCCAGTTTGCCGTTGACTAATCAACCTTCCTGCACCCATCCTCTCCTCCCTCCTTACTAAATTCTCTGATGACTCTGCAGTGGTAGTGTGTATAAGGGATGGACGGAAGGAGGAGTACAGGGCAGTAGTGGAGGACTTTGTGTTGTGGGCGGGCAGAAATGACCTGCTCCTGAACGTGGCCAAGACCAGAGAGATGGTGGTCGACATCGGGAGGAAGACGACGGCTCCGCTACCGCTGAGGGTTCTGGGAGAGGAGGTGGCCATGGTGGCAATGGTACCCATCGTTCTAAAGGGTCGTCCTGGGACAGCACTCTTCTATAGATTCTAAAAGCTCTGCATCCATCACATTCCCTCTCAGCTTTCATGTTCTCAGACTTGCTCAGGGTTACCGTGTGCCTCGGACCGGCCTGTAGCTCATCTAACACCTTCCACAGTGCAGTGCATTAATTAAAAATGGTTTGGTGGTTATGTGATGTAAACTCAATAGCTCTGTGTTTTCTGGACAGTGAGTCGTCGAAAACAAGAAACACAAAATCACCGTGGTCTCATTGAAATGGTCGTTCTTTTCAATTTCCGCACCGGGCGAGTCGTAGTAATGCATCAATATTCAGCACAGCATTTTAATAAAAACTGTGCTGCCAGAAGGGTGGAGGTAGATGGTGAAAATGCACTGCAGCTTTGGTTTTGTTGCATTGTAAAGTCTGGGAAGCTTGGTACAGACGTGAGCACACAGCAGAGGTTTGTGCACTTTGTGTGACTCTGAGGTCCCGAATGCTTCGTGCAATCTGCTCCATCTGAGCGCCACGCAGACTTCCCAGAAGTTCTGTTTGACTGCAGGCAAACAATCTGCGCAAGGAGGAGGATTACTGTAGGAAAGTGATCTCTTCTGTCACTTTTTTGGTCTGAGTCTGAATTGTAGACAGCTGATGCATGTTAATCATTCTGTCCTTTGAGATGGAGTGCAGCTGGGATGACATGTGGCACTGTGTCTCAGTTGCCGAGAGATTACCTAAATGAAATGAATACCAATAAAAGCAATTTAAAAGTTGTCATAGCAACATTTCTCAAAGATTGACAAAGTCAAACTGACAGTCGATGTTGGTTTCTCTGTGTTAACTGTGACCGTAACCAAGACAACAAAAGGTCCTCCGACGTTAACAAAGTAGTCAATTCAACACAACTCAAAAGAAACTTGATCATTTACTATCATCAGTGTCAATCATGATATCAGCTGTTTCAAACATCTGGTTTCATTTATCTGACAGCACAAGGAACCAATTAAATGGTTAAAATCATCTTGCTGCCCTTTCTATTAAATTTGATGATCTCGCTACATGCTACAATGTTACACACACCTTCACTACTCCATCTTCACCCAATCTTCATCAGATTCATCAACTTGACATTCAATCAGCCTCATCAGCTGACACCCACCAGTGTCTGGAATCCACAGGGGAATTTATCTCGCCGCTGCTTTGGGCAGACGGCTCTCTTCTACGAATCTCCCTTTAAAGTCCAAAGACTCTATCAAGACTTCATCATGACATATCATCGGTTCATAAAAGGCATTATCCTTCCAGTTGAAAAACACATGGCACCTTTAACAAAGCAGTTGAAAAATGTGTATATATTTGCGCCTATCTGTTCGAGGAGTACAGATGAGTAACAATGAGTAAAAAACATTGGAGTAAAACGGAACCAGTTCGATGCTGATAAGGGTTGAAATTAATTATTTTTGCTAGTGAGCCCCGCTGAGACGTTTGAGCAGCCATTAAAAAGAAAGCAGTCCGCATAAGCTACTTTAGGACGATGGGACTCGATGGAGACGTTGACATTTGCTGCCAAATACAAATTATTTCCCACCATGGCAATTACAGTGCTGAGAGAGGACCCTGAAAATCCCTATGAGCTGCTGTTGCAAGCGAGTATTAAGACAAACCTCTTCTCCACAGGCAAGACCCGTCAGTTTGTCAATCTGGGACCCACGTGATCATTTTCAGCATCTCGCTCACGGCTCATTGGAACATTAGAAATCATTAGAAATACAGCTGCAGACTAAAGTTTCACATTTGAAGCGGAATGATCTTTGACCAGAAGGTACCCTTTAACTCATAAAACAAAGGAATGCTTTCTTTCACTTAGGAAGCATTTAAAAAATCAGGCACATTCCGTGACAAAGCAATGCACACACTTCTAGAATAGATTAACGCAATTCCGTATTATCCATCCATCCACTGTCAAACCACTTATCCTTGCACACAACCATTCACACTAACATTCACACATCTACAGGCAATTTAAAGTCCTCAATTAACCTGATCCGCAGAGCATGTCTTTGGACTGTGGGAGGAAGCCGGAGAACCCGGAGAGAACCCACGCAGACACGGGGAGAACATGCAGACTCCACACAGAAAGGCCACTGGGCGGAATCGAACCCAGGACCTTCTTGCTGTGAGGCAACAGTGCTAACCACCACGCCACCGTGCCACCCGTAATTTTCTGTATTACTGCTCTCATATTTATCTTCAGTTGATTCAGAATGCTGCAGCATCTGTATTAACAAGGACTAAGAAAAGGGATTGTAGGAGCCAAAATGTGTAGTGTGTTGCATTCGCATGTTCAGTTAATCAGATGTGTATGCGTGTGTCTAATTTCACCGTTGTGGGACAGGCTTGTGTAAATGAAACATACTTCATACATATGTAAACCATCTAATTTAAACCAATTGGGGAAATGCACACTAGAACAAAAGTTTGCATGAAAGAAAAGGTCTTACCCTGTAGTAATCTGTGCTGTAAATGTCTCTTGACATGCCAAAGTCTCCTATTTTCACCAGAAGTCCGTTCCCCACCAAGCAGTTCCTCGTTGCCAGATCGCGGTGCACAAAGTGTTGCGACGCCAAGTAGATCATCCCAGCTGCGATCTGACTGGCTATGTGGAGCATCTGGGACAGACCGAGTTCCCCGTTGGTCTGCAGAGGCTGCCCATCCACCAGGATCAGGGCGTCTGGCCCGTGGGCTCTGAGGAGGAAGTTGCAGAGTGAGTAAGCAAATATCTCACAATCATACCTGATATATGCGAGACAACCCTGACATCCGTCGGTGTAATGTAGCTTAACATTTTTTGTTGCGAGGGACCATTTTGCTGTGTTTGCATGTTGTAGCCCATTAACTCCAAATTGCATGAATGACTGCTGGCCTAGATACAATTTGATTTTCTTCTTTCCTTCATATACCCTGTGTCAGATGCATGTAATGGTAAAAATATGTTGTAACATTGTCTTGTGTTAAACCCGTGTCCCAAGTGTCTGTATTTGACCCTGACGTGCAAAGAGCAGCATGATACATAATGTTAGTTTGCAGCTGTGTCCTGAGAAGGGAGGCCGGTCGACTCCATCTGATAGACGCTTCAATACAAAGGACTTCTGTTTATGGCCTTGGTTCATTTCTTATTTGGTATGAAAGTTTCTCAAATCCGCGTTTCTACTTTTTGTCTATTAATTATAATTTGCACCTGCCACTGAGGATGACCTTCACACGTGTATAAAAACTCAGCGTTTTTACTGCTCAGAGACGCCATTTACACCGAGCACTGTAATACGTGCTCGTGTATTCAACCTCCTACTTGCAAGCAATAGTTAGAGCCACATATATCTGCGGAGAATTTCTCATCTTTTTCTCTTCTGAATAAATGTTAAGTTTTGACTCTAATTGATCAACGCGTCGCGATCCTTCTTATCAACCAACTCGGGGGGATCGGAGATCCCGACACCTGCAAACGTCTTATGTTGGATGACTATTGTAATAATGACATATTGTTTTTCGTGTTGATATTTTGCTGTGTTAACATTCCAAATGTCTCATTAACGTAATCTATACAATTAATGTGCTAGGAGGGAAAAGTGCAGCCTACTGAATTAATTTGGCAACATTTTGCATTTTTACGCTCATCAGAGCGTGACCTCCAGCTTCTGTCTAAGATCACCCACATTGGCTTAAGTAGATACTATAGTATATATACATAGTATTTGTGTAGTCATGTGAATTCATATCACAAGAATTATGTTGTATTGTCCTTGCACATTAGCTATTGCCGGTTATAGTTTTTCCACCCCAAAAATGTCACACTCAAAAGACTCAATAATCAACATACGTATATTTTTGTAAATGAAATTCAGTCCAATAGCTAAAAACATGCAGAATCTCCAGTTGGGCCGTTTAAACAGGGGATGCCAATAAAGTGGAAGCTTGTTGGTTAGAAGACAATGGCACATCAACCAGTTACGTTGAATTTGAAATTGAACTTCTGGTACATACTTCTACCCTCCTGGTTCCGTACTAGGGATGCTGATTTAGAAAAAAAGCTTTTCAGTCCAATATTAACCTGTAACAGGACTCGCTTCAGGGCCCCAACACAAAAAAACTAACGTTTTGGTTTTATTTCATCCAAATTCAATAATTTCCAATGTCAACATTTCATCTGTTTCATCAGATCCCACAAATCTACAGCGTGAAGGCGTGAACCTTTTCCTGTTTTTACTACTATATAATGATTCAGGAAAAAAGAAAGTGGGTTATTATTGTTATTATACGTCACCAGTAACAGACACTATGTGGCGTTTAGGAGACTGACGGAGGAGCCACGTGTAGTTAAATACAAAGTGCTCTGTAAGTTGTCAATCTGTCTGTGTGTGTCTTTATAGCCTTACATAGTTTTAGGTCTCTTATGGAGGAAGCGATGCCAATGCAGTGGCAGCTTGTTGCGTGCCTGTTTGTGTGTGTGTGAGTGTGTGTGTGTGTGTGTGTGTGTGTGTGTGTGTTTGAGTAGGACGGTGGTTTGGATTACAATGGGTGCCGGCTAAATTAGCAGTATGTCCTGGAATAATTGATGCCAGCACCTTCATGGAAACACATTTACTGAGTCAAAATTAGCATTCGGGGCACAAAGACACTCGCTGAAACGCTGTCCCATACAAGTATGCACACACACACACACACACACACACACACAGTGAAAGTCACACATGAACACTGGTAGACTTTGCTTCCTGGCGGCGGATTAAGTAGCAATGTTCTATTCTGTGAGGCAAAGCGCCCTGGGAGCAAATAACATCTAATTACAGCAGACATAATGCAGCCCATTAGCTTACCAACCGCAATTTAAAATTTGGGGATTTAGCTCTGTTTTGCTCTTTATCCAGAGCTGCAGGTAGGCAGGAGCTGCCGAATTGGACTGAGGCTTCACATCAGGAGATAAGGTGAGGTAAGGACCCCAGAAAAAAACAAAAAACTCATGTTGGTCCATTCATTCACTCTTAATATTTGGTAGTGGCTCCTAAAGTATTATTTCAATCGAGTGGATTCACTCTTTGGGCAATTAATCACAAGGGGAAATTCAATTCATATCACATTCAAGAATTTCAATACCTCACACCGATCACGGAAGGATGTGTGTGGTCTATTGTGTGTGAACAGGAATTTGGCAGCAGAGACTCGGTTCTGCATCGTATGGCTTACAAATACTTATTTAAGAGAACTGAAACGTTTTTGGTTTAGCTAACTATTCAAAAAAATAAAAATATAACCAAGACTTCCATCGTAAAAGACGCAACTTTGTGCTCTAATAACTAATAAATAGTGTCAGCATTTCCTCTCCACTACTAGGTCCACACGATCGAAGATGCAAATCATCATCTTCCAAAGACTATTTGGCTGAAAATAGTCAATTCTTCATTGGGTGATGGAACAAAACCTTTTTGTTGAACCTTCTGATTCAGCGATTTGATCTTTTTTCAGCTGCTCTGTTGAGCATAATGTACAAAAAATAAATCTTTGAAGGATTTGACTACTTCTTTGACCAGCAGAATGGTGAAAAAATGACTTACAAAATGATATGAAACAAGCGAGATTATTCTGGACATTTGTCTGGTAACTGCTTGAAATGTTCACGGCAATTTGTGTCACTGAAAAAATGAACAATAAAATAATTCAAAGCTCAATAACACATTTTAAGAGCAGATTACTTGTTTTTGTAAATGCTCAATGTGGATTCTTAGAAGTACCAGCAGACTGTTTAAAGAGCGCCAAAGTTCTCTTTAAACAGGTGAACATGGTGAACAGCTGCAACATTTGGTAGAAGCAGCAGCAGTGAGGAGCAGGAGAGAAAAAGAAAAGAACAGATAGAGGCAAGAATCTCTGTGTGTCTGAACCTATTCATTATTTTGGGCATGTTTAATCAAAATCAGCGGTGGGTCTCGTCGTGATAAAGTAGCTCATGTGGCCCCGTAGAATGATGTTAATTACACAGATGTATAATTAAGTGATCTACAATATGTTGGACAATTGTAATTTAGTTGGCTGTAAAAGGTCTGAGAACAAAAACCTTCATGCTGAATGCAATTTCGGATTATTTTTTAGAAGCGTTAGGTTTGTAAAACTATCTATCATGGGATCGGTCCTGCAAATAAACCTTTGGCGATGACAAGCTGCCGCTGTCGTCACTCGCACCACCAGGGGTCTGCTGAGCTCACCTGAGGAACTTATTGAGGTCCCCGTGCTTCATGTACTCAAAGACCATGATGAGAGGGTCGCCGTCCACACACACACCGTAGAACTTCACTATGTGCTCGTGCTGCAGGTTGGTCAGCAACTCAGCCTCACGCTGGAAATCCTTCCTGGCTGCAAGCGTGGGGTCCTTCAGCGTCTATAGAGAGAGAGAGAGGACATTATAGTGGTATATGCGACCAAATCATGACCACATAACGGGTTGCCCTGTGGAAGCCACATTCCCCTTTTCTTACTTGCAGTTTGCTGCATCAAACTAAATCCATATTAAAGAGGGACGCTGGTTCATCTTGTCAAGAGTAATGGCAGGAATTCCCAATGAATGACGCAAAAATCATCTCTTTTAATTCATTCATTGATCAATATCTTCAATTTGAGCGGACCTTTAAAATATCTCTGTTGTTTATCCTTTGAGCTGCGATCGATGATACCTTCCTTCAGACTTGGACCTAACTTGCATACCAGACAGACAAATGTGGCCCTTGAAACAGACTGTAAGATGAAGAAGGGATCTTGTTCCTCATTGGTGCACACAGGGGACGCAGCCCACTGCCCAATGTGGCTGATTGCCCGACGCCAAAGGTCCGTGTGTCGATCACTCTGGTCCATTACAACAACAATGCAGTTACCGTGACAACGCTTCAGTCACTCACATGCAAACACAATTGGAAAAAAAGCAGCGAGACTTTTTGAGTTTTCAGAGAAAAGTTGACGAAGACAAGACTCCGTGTTCATACCACAGATAGATCCGTACTCCCAACTAGTGTGTCTGGTTTGAAGGTCGGTTATAGGTACAGTCAATGACCCCACTTACTCAAAGAACAACCATCTAATTTAAAAAGCTGTAAAAGTCGTCAAATTGCATTCAGGTTGGATTAAAATATCCAGATGCTAGAATGGTGTAAGTATAGCAGCCTTTCAGACAAACAAACCAGTAAAATACATCAATAAACAGTGACTACAACTAGACACAATGTCCATTGTCTGGTCCTGCAGTGTCCTAATATGAGTAGTTGCTTTTACAGCCCCTTTAAATTTGCAATCGACTATCACTGGCATTCTGGTTATTTAGATCGGCTAAGCTGCAGACAAAACAACCGAAAGTTAATTGAACTAATCAATTAGGCTTAGCAAAGGATCAGGGTTTGGGGTCAATTGAGTTAAACAACTTTGACACTAGCTGAGTACGTATGCTATGCATCAAAAGTACGTATAATAGGTCGACTTTTGGTTTCACCGAGGAAATAAACGTCAGTTTTGCAGCTGAAAGTCCAGGGATGGTTGATGTCACTCACTCCTACAGTACGTCGCCTGACCTTCCCCTTTAGGTGCATCACGATTACTATCTTCTTGTATTCTTGATGAACAAACATGTGAGTAGTTAACTGCTTGTGTTACCCCAACTGTGTTGTGTAATTTTTATTCTCCTGTGATTACTCTGCATTTATACGGCATGTTAGTAATACAATTTTGGTTGAAGATTACAGTAACAGATCTAAATTCTTTGGGGTATATGTTTTATCAGAATCAGAACAGAATTTGGATTTTAAGTGTTAGTATTCAATGTAGCAGTTGTTTAGCAGTTGCCGGTTCTGGTTGATGTTCTGCAGAGATCAGAAATAAATACAGTCACTGGTTGCTTGTTCCTTCATTTTCTCCCTTTTTAAAGTTTGGATTTTGGACAAACATGATAGAAATATAAAACTTTTCTATGATAAAAATGTTTGCCACCAATGACAAACAAAGGGCAAGATTTGGTTCACAATTTGTAGAAACGGTTCCAAAACGGCAGTTGAAAAATCCTGTTTTAGCTGCTTTCTGGACCGGATGAAAGACGCCATGACATCACATCATCATACATGAATGGTATTTCACTTTTGAATTGATCAAATAGCCGCCCAGTTTGCTCCAAATAAAAGCATATTCCTATTAACGGAGCAGTACAGTACACATGTGTTCACTCCAAACAAACATATTCATGATCACCTTCCATCCGTTTGTCTGATTTGTTCAGATTAGTAGTTTTAGTAGCAGTACGGCTGCCATGGTAACATTTGTTATTCATCTCCTTCACCTATCTTCTTTTTCTCCTTGGCAGCGCTTCTGTTCATATCATATTCATTCACTGAGCGCAATAATGTACTTATATTTTGCTAATGCGGACAAAGTACTAATGTATAGAACAAATCTCTGCCTCAAATGTAATGGACAAATTTAAGTAGGCTGATGAAAATAGATGATTATAAAAGAGCCTTTATATTCAAGGTATCTTTGGACAAAGAGAAAGAAGCAAACGTCTCAAAATTTGAAATCACTACAAATAACAGTGAATGGATTTTACATTAGAGGAACACATTTTATGTGATTTTCCCACCATCATGTTTTGGGAGCGATAAACTGTAACCATGGATACAGACATGCATCATAATCATTATCATATGCTGTATAACTGCATTGCTCCGATACAGAAAACTATGTCCGAAAATAAAGATTGTGAGGCAAGATCTACTGTAAAATGACGAGAAACAATAACCTAAACCTCGGCAAAAGCTACCTGGAAAGACTTAATCTGCTTCTAGTCAGACAGGGAGTCAATTATGATCATTCCTAAGGTGCAATACATTAAATTTGGCAGTCTTCCCATCATGATAACTGCAGAGGAGGACACGCCGAGCTTGGTGGTAATTACTGATTGAACTAGAGCGGATTGGCATTCCCTTCATTAGTCCTTAAAAAGGCAATGACCTGTGACACCATTATCAGAAATATGTATTAACCTCTCATGCATTAACATACTCAGCACATTATTGCATACTTTTCAATGCGTACACATGTTCATATCCACGAGCTCTAAGAACTGAATCGATGAAAAGGTGGCTTCCTGAACCTTCTTGTCAAAGAGGTAGAAGGAGAAACATTTCAGATTGGATCTTACAATAAGAAAAAGTATTTTTAGACAAACTGAGGTTAAAAGCAGAAGTAAACAGGAGGCCATCATAGTGGTGGTAATTCACTTGGTACAGGCTTGGTCAGTGGCCCTGTGCTTCAAACTCTGCAGCCTGATCTCCAAAACCTGTTCGTGAAAATGTATACGAAAATCTTGAACATAAAAATTCGTAGTGATACATACTAAATAAATACGGACTGCAACTGATGACGTCACCCTGTTCAAAGTGAACGGGGACCTGCACCCCGTAAACACACTTTGTGAAGTCTAACCATGTAAAATAAACGTGTTATGATTGCATTTTTAACGAGAAATCAATGTTAACTTGTAAGAATAGAATACTAACCCTAACCCCCTCAAAAAATCCAACATGGCGGAGAGACATTCACTCAAGAATCAGCCATGTTGTTCACTCAAGGGGCGTGGTTAACCACCGCCAGTTCCTATGTGTTGTTACGAATTTGTATGTTCAAGATTTTCGTATACATTTTTACGAACAGGTTTTGGAGATCACGTTGAGCAGGTTCCCCTGGAGGGAATGTGTGCGTATGTGGGTGTGTGTGTCTATCTCAGATTGGGCTGACTGGTTGTACGGGTGGCAAAAGCAGTCAGCGTGGCGGCCATCATGTCGCCATTAATAACTGCTGCGATGCTAAAAACAGATCCTCAGTCTTCGACATATGTCATGTCAATAACCCAGTTCATGTGGCAGCTTTCAAACCGACATGTGTGTTGTAGCACTACAAATGGCTACAAAAATGTAGCATAAAGTTCTTAAGCTGGAGATGTTTGTAAGAAATGCTATGATCTGCAAACCAAGTACTTTTAGATAAGATATTATATGCATGTAATGAGCAAAAAACTGTGAAATAAATTAGTTTATTCTTTTTAATCAAAGGTATCAGACAATTGAACCTCTTCATAACTGCTCCATGACGCCGAACTGATTGGTGGTGACCAGTGTTTATGTCCCCCAGTATCCGGGTAAAAAGCCTCATGCTTTCATTGACATCTATAGTTTTTACAATTGAAGTGACCCCATCACCCAGTCGGGTGGAACTATAGTGGAGATATACCATTAGAACTGTAGTATAAGAGTTTAGTCTTGTGAAATGACTGGAATTTGTAAGAAGGGAGGTCTAACTCATCCTAACTCAACATCATGTTCAGCTCCAAGAGCAGCTTTGCACTGTAAACCTACGATTGACTTGTGAATAGAACTGGCTCATTGGTGCTATGGGTTGAAGAGGGTGTCCCTTAAATAAATTGCCTTTGCTGTAAATACAAGCCAAACCGCACCGTCAAGGCAACACTTAAAACATCACAGAACTGATTCACTCCACGGAAGCTGTAAACTAGCAATTACAAAAGAAGGTGAGGCGTCAGTCTGTAAACTACCCAGTGAACACACAGCTGCTGTGCAATCACGTGTGTGTCAGTTACTGCTTGATGGAACGCACTTGTTCCATCAGCTCGATGCATTTACACACACTACAGGTGTTTGAACACACACACACACACACACACACACACACACACACACACACACACTGCTTCCCACGTCTTACCTTCACAGCTACCAGCATCTTGTCCTTCGTGGGGCTCAGATTGTAACATTCAGCTAGGAAGACCTTGCCAAAAGCTCCTTCTCCGAGCTCCCTCTTCAAAATAATGTCCCTCCGTTTAATATGCTGAACATCTGTGAGGGAAAGAGAAAAAGGGATTGGGTTCAAATTCATTCCAATCAGTATTCTTACTTCACAATGTTACCGTATCGTTTGGTGGACCTTATTCCAATGAATCCTACAACATTATAATACTTTCTTTTCAATTTCAACTACTTTCAACCAAAGAAAGTGAAAAGTGTCTGGGAATTATCTGCATTACCCAGGACATTGTTTCTGGATAGAAAAGAAGTTGCAGTTTAATTTCAAAAGTGCATTTTCTCAATGTTCTGAGCACCACTGCATTCATTTAAAAAATATCAAGAGGAAGCAGTAAATGAGGGAAGGCGACAGGATAAACTGCCGGATACAGTCCACCTTTATCTTTTCAATACAAATCAATCATAGGCCGTAATCAATAAGTGGACACAGTCACCTTGGACTCGACCGAAAGCCGAGTAAGAGATTTATAGGCGTCCGAAATGTTACAACTGACTTTCATGAACTGAAAAAACACTGCGAAAGGGTTAAAGTAGTAAGACAAAACCACTGACAGCTCCCAGGCAGCGGCCCTGGAAGAGGCCTTTCCATCCAACATAATTACTGAGGTAATAAATAAGAGAATTCACTTATAGACACACATTCATATTCAGACTTCTTTTTGCAACCGAGGCCCTTTGACTTTTCTTTTAAGAATCAAATGTTTCCCTCTCGCAATAAGCAGAAATGTCCTCACTGTTATCCATAACATTTATGGATAGAAATATAGATGTATGAAGAACCCTGACAGATGTTTGGCTTAATGTGAAGGAGTCGTCATCAAAAGTGTCTGTACATTACTGGATGAAAACGAGCTGTTAAGCAAAACCGAATAAATCTGCTATGAAGTTTATACTCGTGTGTGTGTGTGCGTGTGTGTGTGTGTGTGTGTGTCTTAGTGCTGCCAGGTGTCTTGCCCTTGTCACTGTGTTGATCTGTAATTGTAACTGCATTAATTAGCCTGTATAACAGACGGCAACTCGCAATGAACCAGATCACAACCCCTCGAGGTACGAGTGCACTCAAATGGACTTTTCTTAAAGTGCACACGGTTACTTCTCTCTATCAGGCAGTTTCCGAAAAAATAATCCACCATTTTTGACTAAGGCGATGACCAACACACATCTTGAGTCTGTCAAGAATACCAATGCATTTGTGCCCCTAATGGTGGCTGAATGACCCCGGTACATTCCATGAGTTTGTTTATTGGATTAAATCCAATAACAATACTCTGAATGAAGTATTCATATTCAAAATTGGTCTTTTCACCAGAGAAGTGAGGTTCCATGGATTTGCCACAGGAAGGTTCCTACATCCTCGTCACCGCATTAAGCCAACGGCCTGCTGGTTTGAGGGCATTCCTGTCATGACCTTCTCTACTGTCCCCTGTGTTCAGGTCCACGGGTGACCACGTATTAAGTCGGTGTGCCTTAAGAAGACTTAAAACCTGCTCTGCAGCATTGGCTGATGCTCTCTGGGTAAATGTGGCCTTGTTGCCAAAAAAAGACTTCTACTCTCTGGCGCACTGCCTCGCTGTCACCTGAAGGTGCCAGGTGTCAGGGTGGAGATCTCCGCAGTAAATCTGATCGGAAGCTTCCGGTAAAAAGTCTTTGTTGCCATTTTTTGGGGCCTGATGTGGGTTTTGTGAAGTACTTTAATGTGTATTATGAACATTCAAATCAAAAGAGGGAAGCACACTTAACATCTACTCCCCAACACCCACAACTGATCATCTACCTGATTCAACAGTGCACCTCAGCATGTAACCAATCCCCTTAAAGCAAATTTAGGGATTTGTCTTACTAAGAAGTGTGAACAAAAGTGACTTAACATAAATTAATAAGGATGTCTATCAAATACAAATGAATAAAATAAAAGGTCTCTTTGTGTAAAATAATTTAAATAATTCTTCACAGTGATAATCTGATGTCAGTTAGAATCAATTAAAACAACTAAGGTAGGTTTAGTGAAAAAAGTCTGGATAACTCATTTGTAATGCTTAAGTTACAAATCGATGACTTAATTATGTCTGTTCACAATATTTTCTGACTCCTTTTGGCTTTTTGACCAAACAGACATCTGTGATACACTTATTGGGTTATATGAATAAAAATGTACTTGACTCTGTAGTGTTGATTATGATGTTGATGAGATGCTACACACAAGAGACATAGTCATACTTTCTAAATAAATTCGGTATTTTAACAAGAAATAGTTTTTTGAAGTCAGAATAATGCTAAATGGACTCTACTCACACCCATTGATGCACAGCCAGAGGCTGACATGCACGGTGGCACCTGCCCCTCACGACCGACTCCCCAATCACACACACATTCTCTGGGTGTCTCCGGGTGCAAACTGGTGGTCTCTCCACAGGAGACAAGGACGCATCATGGTGTGTCACAATTGAGAAAGTTCTATTGAGAAACAATAATTTGAGTCCAGTTTTCGAAATCAGAATTCTTCGAAATCCTGCTCTTTATGTTTTTGCTGCCCGCATGAAGTCAGAAAACAAGTCCCAGAGCCCCAAAGCCAAAACAGTGTTAATATGTCTTAATGAGGTTAAGACTGTGCTTTGGGTGACACATATTTCTACTACGCCTCAACTTGATAGCATAAGAAATGATGCACTAATTAGTACAGGTCTCAAGATGAACAACAAGCAGTATTCAGCTCAGGTCCCTGCAGGACAACAGCAAGAGACTATTTTTTGAGTCTGAGGCCTTGAGGGAAAGTTCAATTGGGGCATATTTCTTTTTTTTTAAGACACGAACGTCTTTATTGCATTTGGAGTAAGAGCCTCAGACATTTAGACATCCTGACTAAAAAAGTGCCCTCAGCAGAGTGCGGATATCCGCAAGGTCTGTCTGCAATGACACCTGCTGTAATGTTTGAATAGACGAATAGTACCCCCATCTGCCCCCCATCTACAATGTTAGCATCTCAGATTTTTGTGATGTTATAGATCTGATGGATCAGCTTTCTTTCCCACAAAATGACTTTGTGAAGCAACAAATCATGACAAAATACATTACCCTTGAATTGTAAGGCAGCTTTGTTGTCCTTATATATAAATCATTTATACGAGCCAAGGTATAGCACATCTATGAGCGCACCAGCTCTGGCAGCCTGACCTGTGCTTGACTGCGTGGCGCTTGGCGTTGATGTTTGATGAACAGAAAGTGTCTGTCCGGTTGTGTTTAAAGTTCAGACAGCAGCTCAGTTACTTCTGTTGGACACACTGGTGGGATGTGGAGCCGGCCATTGGTTGTCAGCGATTTAAAGAGCTTGATTGTTGTCAGCGCTCCACTGGTATCAGCCGCCCTCAGTTATATATGAACAATGTTTGATCCGTGAAACTGTCAAGGAGAGTCCAAACTCAAGCAGCTGTCCAACAACTTGCCCCCCCCCCCCAAGCAGTTAAGGCAAGTGAGGAGTCAGCAGTCAATAAAGCAAAAAAAAAGTCAATAGAATATGGGTTTCATAAAGTGTGAACCGACTACCAGACGTCCTCAAGTCATATATGGGACATATGAGCCGGCTCGGTCCAGGAGCAAGACACAGAGACACACACGCAACGGAATACATAATATTCTGCAGAGATAATGAGTCCGTAGGATGGATGGAGGACGGGGGAAAGGACACGGGAGAGGGTTAATTACTGAACTTAACAACTTGGCTTGTGTAATGGAATAATTGCCCTGGGAGGTGCTGTCGCCTCTGGCATTCAGGCTTCACAGCCCTCAAAGCTCCATGAGAATAATTGCTAATGAAAAAGTGTGACCGTCATGCTACAGGGTGGTCATATTTATCCTTTGTGTTCCTTTGGTTCATGTCTTACGGCTCAAATTTTCACTGGAGGATGGAGAGTGTTGCTGTTCAGAGAGTTGGCCGTTAGTTGTTAATCCCCAGAGAGGCGCGTGTTGTCCAATGAACTTGAACATTCATTGAATGAATAAAATTGTCTTATTAAATACTTTGTTCTTTACATACTTGAATGTGCTGACAACAAAATCACACTAAAATGATCAATGAAATGTATTAACCCATGGCGGTCTGGATTTAGAGTCACACTCAAAATTGAAGTGGAATAATACATTACAAGCTGATCCAACTTTGATGTAATGTCCTTAAAACTGTGTGCCACCCCACACCATTACTGAGCCACTGCCAAACCGGTCATGCTGGAGGATGTTGCAGGCAGCAGAACGTCCTCCAGACTCTGTCACGTCTGTCACATGTGCTCATTGTGAACATTGTGGCACAGGGCGCCAGTGGTGAATTTGCCAATCTTGGTGTTCTGTGGCAAATGCCAAACGTCCTGCCCGGTGTTGGGCTGTAAGCACAACCCCCACCTGTGGACGTCGGGCCCTCATACCACCCTCATGCAGTCTGTTTCTGACCGTTTGTGCCGACGCATTCACAATTGTGGCCTGCTGGAGGTCATTTTGCAGACTCTGGCAGTGCTCCTGCTCTTCCTCCTTCCACAAAGGTGAAAGTAGCAGTTCTGAAGCTGGGTTGTTGCCTTCCTACGGCCTCCTCTACGTCTCCTGATGTACTGGCCTGTCTCCTGGTAGCGCCTCCATGCTCTGGACACTATGCTGACAGACACCGCAAACCTTCTGTCCACAGCTCGCAGTGCTGTGCCCTCCTGGATGAGCTGCACTACCTGAGCCACCTCAGGTGTCATGCTACCACAGTGAAAGCATCACCAGCATTCAAAAGTGACCAAAACTTCAGCCGCAGAGCATATGAAGTGAGAAGTGGTCTGTGGTCACCACCTGCAGAACCACTCCTTTATTGGGGGTGTCTGTCTTGCTATCTGCCTATAATTTCCATCGGTTGTCTATTCCATTTGGACGACAGCATGTGGAATCGATTGCTGCTTCCTGTGGGCGGTTTGATTTCACAGAAGTGTGATGGACATGGAGTTGGGACATTGTGTTCTTTGAGTGTTCCCTTTATTCTTTTGAGCAGTGTACAATGGAACAAGCGTTAACGGAGGCGAATATTCCATAAAACGTTGATTTCTTTCCGAGGGAAAGAGTCTAAAGAAGGAAGCAAACAATTCAGAAGCTTTTTCGTTGTCTATCTTAAAGCGATGAAAACTCTTACACTTGTACGGTGTTCATTTGTTTGTTACACAGATGATGTTGTGGGTCGGTTGGACTCGCTGTGTTTTGAGCTTTTTAATTCAACAAACAAACAATCTTTTTGTTAAATTACCCAACAGATGTTTACTTCATCCCAATTAGAAGCAATATAAAGAGCAAACTGAGTTGATATTGGGGAGCTCCAGCCTGCTTTTCATGGTCAGCTTCCGCTCCATTTTAAAGGTCACAGAGTTATGTGAACAAATACTGGTCTGTAACCGTGGCGTCACAATGAGGTGATTAGGTTATTCAGTTGTAGTAAGTTAGTAAGAAGGCCCAGGCAGGACAGCCGGTTTAACAGTTCAGGGGCTTCTCGGGGCGTTCAAGCAGAATTCAGCATCGAACCTGTGGACATAATCAGGCTCATGACGTCAAGCTCCAGTAAACTACACCCTGAAACACCAGGATGTAATTTACTGGACCATCAGCAGTGGGGCTCAAACTGCAAGTTGCTTTGGTCAGAGAGTGTGAGGAATGACCAAGCATCATGGTGGTCTTTTGCTTGTCACTGGCTCACTGGCCTCCTGCTCACCTTTATTATGGAGGGATGGAGCCTCTGTTAACCCTTCAGCACTGCGTCCCTCTTTAAATGTAGTTTTTAATCTTAGAAAAATGCTTGACACCATTTGATTAAACTTTGGGGTGCAAATACACCACTGATATGGGTATAATCATAGGATTATTCTGCATATTTTTGCAACAAATTAAAGAGGCAAATCTTTTCTAATTTGTTTGTTTCTTGAGCGTCTCTTGAAAAGCACTATAATAAACTAAAAAGTATTATTATAACTTTAAATTCTTCATGTCTGTTTTGTTGGTTTGTTTGTGCTGAGCTATTAACAAATGAATAGGTTCATATTATTAATTGCCATTTTGCCACACACAGGTTACACTAAAAAACATGTGCAAGCAGCAAACACACACAAGAGAACACACGCCTTTCACCCAACACTCACTGCAAACATCCACATGCATGCGTTGAAGGTTTGCTGAATGACTTGACCGTTCCGCCACTGGGTTGCAATTAGCGAGACTGTAACGAGCTCAGGGACTCGCGTACGTACAGCTGCTACAGAGGAGCGAGAGGCGACATTAACAGTAACAGAGCGTCTCGTCTGCATGTGCTACTGAAGGGACGGCGTCCACACTCGCTGCTTCAGCTTCTCAGTCATTCTGAGTAAACATGGCTTCCTCCAAAACATCTAATGGGCACTTTAGTGCAAAAAAAGGAGCTTTTTAAGATGATGATACACAGCGTTAAGCGTTGAGAGACACACACACACACACACACACACACACACACACACACACACACACCATCTCCAGTGGCAAAATCCAGCTGGTAATAATCCCACAGCGTGACTCTAATGATGGATCAGATCGCCATCGGCATCAGTCATGTTTTGTGTGTGTGTTTTGTCTCTAGGGCAGCGGTTCCCAAACTCAAGAATGCCGCGGCCCACTTTGAAATCTGCCCACCCAAACTAGGGATGATTAAATGACCTTAAGAATTTAACCAATTAAAATGTATTAACCGACAATGTGTGTTTTGTATACCGTTTTCTCCGGAGCTCATGTGCCGTGTTTTCCGCACAATAAGGCGCACCTTTGGAAAATGTTTCATATATCGGGCGCTTCGGATGATAAAGCGCATAAGATACTGCAGTCAAACGTTTGGCGTCGGGGCGGGTGGATGGGGGGTGTGGGGAGGTGAAGACGGTGCTTTCAGGGTCCGATCGATGCTGCGAGGTGCGTCCGCTCCCGCCGTCCCGCTCGCCATCCACGCCTTAAATCTTCGGCTCCTTTTAATCAAAGCCAAAACCTCACTTCCTACATTGTGCACCATTTAGGGGGGAAATTGGTAGAAATGTAATATAACGATAAACATGTGCTTTTTTAACTATATAATCACATAACTTGTTGAACGAGCTGTTTCTGTGTATATATGGCAAATGGTTTGGTCAGGGAGGGCGGTGGGGTAGTAGTCAGTCCGCTGGTGCTGGTCCAGAATTTTTCTGGGGAGTGGGGGCGCACCGCTGTTATAACGGTGGGGAAACACTGAACTACCACCAACCACCGGAGGAACCTGCCACCGACCACCGGAACCTGCCGTTCTGAAAAAGGAACCTGCCACTGACCACCGGAACCTGCCGTTCTGGAAAAGGAACCTGCCACTGACCACCGGAACCTGCCGTTCTGAAAAAGGAACCTGCCACTGACCACCGGGAACTGCCGTTCTGAAAAAGGAACCTGCCACTGACCACCGGAACCTGCCGTTCTGAAAAAGGAACCTGCCACTGACCACCGGGAACTGCCGTTCTGAAAAAGGAACCTGACACTGACCACCGGAACCTGCCGTTCTGAAAAAGGAACCTGACACTGACCACCGGAACCTGCCGTTCTGAAAAAGGAACCTGCCACTGACCACCGGAACCTGCCGTTTTTAAAAAGGAACCTGCCACTGACCACCGGGAACTGCCGTTCTGAAAAAGGAACCTGCCACTGACCACCGGGACCTGCCGTTTTTAAAAAGGAACCCGCTTCCGACCACTTTTCACCCATGGCGTCACTCTTGGAACTCTGCCTCCAAGATGATCAACTGTGTGTAGTTTTGTGTTTAAAATAACACTAACAATTAAACAACAGTGTCTAAAAACACATGAACACATGTGATTACTCATTACTTTTAAGATTTAGTCTTTGGAAGAAAAACAAATTAAAAAACAACATTGTAACAACAACATTCATTAATCGCCATTAATCAAGATAAATGAATTTCAAAATGTGCGATTAATTAAGACTCTTTTGTTAAATCTATTGACAGCCCTAATATATAGCATATATGTATATGTGTAAATAATAGGCACTCAATACGAATACAGAAAATCCTCACTGCTCAGAACAGTCCAGCAACTGTACTCCAAGCAAAGGGCCAACTGGTGAACTAGGTCACCATCACTTTCAATGAAGCTTAGGCGTGAATTCAGTCAGGAAGACTGAAGAAATGAGTGCCTGCCCCAGGGGCCTCTGCTGTCTATGTTATGCCATAAGCTGATTGGGGGCGGAGGTACCGTTTTGGTAAACCTATCGCGTCAGGGCTGTCAACGTTAAAAGCTGTTCTCATCTCTGTTGCTGTCAGTTGTCATTTCAGGAAGCACCAGACGCAACTCTCCACCCCCCTTGACACCTCCAATCAGCGGGATAATCTGGCATATCAGAAGATTAGAGCAATTTATCCTCTACCACCATCACTAGTGTCTGGACTCCCAAAGGGGGGATGTGCCTCATCTGATCTCGGCATCCCGGCCTCTGATCTGTCCTACGGCTGGATGGAGTCCAATCCCCAACAAACTTTGCACTTTTAATACTCATGCTTGTTTTAATACGTTATTGTTAAAAGTTCAGAGGTCTCTTCTGATTGAAATGCAAGAAACCAACACTAATATTTGATCCGATCCAAGGAGTTGTGAAAATGCAATTGTTGACTTTGTTGAGTTTTTAGCTTGATTGGAAGGAAAAAGAAACTGGCAGACAGGCAGACTGCAGTTTGGCTGTGACTCTCTGAAACATTTATGCTGCAGTTTACATGCAAGTCTGTCCAACCATATTTCTAACATGTCAATACTTGATTGATGTTTAAAAAGAAGTGCTTTGTGAGGTCACAGTCAAATTCAAACCAGTCCAAGGGAACGTTTGTTCTCGAGATATCACATCCATGAGAATGGACTAGAAATACAGAGCCACAGCTATTGGCGATAAAGAGCCATGAAATAATTGAAAACTGAAAATAATCCCCCACCACATTCCAACACATGCACAGTGTGTGGGTGCGTTTACTTACAGGTGGCTGGTTTGTTACAGTTGTGTCCATGTCTGAAGTACTGTGGGTTCTCGATGACGGGGATCCTGGTCATTCCAATCACCACAGCGTCCGACCCGGGATCCAGCGTACAGGGGCTGATAATTCCATGGTTCACATGATGAAGGGGGCTGGCGGAGTCTTCCTCACCGCTTATTACTGCTACCGGTCCTGAAAAAATAGAGCCACAAACTCAACACCTGCATGTGCAACAAAAGGCTAAATGAAATCTAGCTCAATATTTCTAATTCTTGAAGAATTTTTGGATCCTTAACAAAAAACTATTGAAATCTGCAACCTCTCAAAAGCGTATTTCACAGTCGTGGCACAGAAACAATGCCAATGAAATGTCAAGCTTGGTTGCGTTGCACATACAAATTCATCAAAGTGACAATATGCAGGTTGTGGTGTAAGCAGAGGAATTGGTCACAAACAGGAGACCGATGTTTATGTCTGGTGTAAAACATAAAGTCAACATTATTTAACATTTTACTCATCCAAAATGACGTAGTACACACAATTTCAACCCAAACCGTAATCTTCTTACACCCAACCACTTGGTTGTATTGCCTCTACATACATTATATTATTATGTTTCCTTAATGTGTCTTTCTCTAAGATTGCAGTGATTTCTTAAGAAAAGTTCTACTCTCTGCAATCATTACTATCTAGTCATTCACACTAAAAAACAAGGCCCTTTTAGGCCCCTGCTGGAAATTTGCCTGAAAAAAAAGAACTTACAAGGAATGTTTCAGAGGTTGGGTGATGAACATTTAACGCTCCAAAACGCGCACAATAAATGCATTTTTCTGTTGAAAACGACACGGTACGGAGGATTTAGGATTGAAAAGCAATGATGGGATTTGTGTGTCTGGTGTTTTTTCCATAAGGTTTGTCTGAGAGAAATGGTATCGTTATGGCCTTGATCAGAGTGGAATCCGATTTCGATTGATGGTTCCAGAAATGACACAGAGAGAGCAGAGCACCAATCTGGGGTCTCTGGGGCCTGAGAGGTTTTAAAACACTGAGACGATAAATATATTAAACCCAAAAAGCAGATCAACTCAATGATGTAAAGATGAAGAAAAGTAGTTTTTGTATAATGGATATTCTTAAAAACACCATATTTTGACACCAAAATAAAAATCAGGATGAGTCATTGTATCACATTTTGACGTGAGTGGGCTCCAGTGAGAGCTGTGTACTGCTTATACTTTTTAACAGGGCTGAACTTTACACTACTGATCACAGGGGCCAAATCTTTGTTCAGTTATGTTGGTTTGGCAGAGAGGGTTTACAGAAAGTTTTACGCAGTAAGGCAGAAAAAGGTCTTATACCAGGCGGCAATGTTTGGTTCTGAAATCTTCTCTTCTCTGTAGTCCGCAAACCAACGGGAAACCTCGTGTAAAGTTCCTCCATAGAGTAAATGGTTCAGACAACAGAGGTTAGAGGTAGAGGAGGCTTAGGGAGTAAAAAGGAAAGAAAATATTACATTTGTAGCTTTGGCCATCGTCCCAATAATCATTAGCAATGAAGCCATGCGTGTTAAGTCTTTTCGTATCGACAGGAAGGACGGCAAAAAACAGTGAATATCGGAACTTTCCTTTAAATAGAGTGATGGAAGCTTAGAAGTGGGGGGGTCGGCGGAACATTAGTGGTTTGAGATGCTTGATGGTGAAGATGAGAGAAAAAGAATGAAGTAGCCTTTCACAGCCATTCAATGGCACGTGAAATGCTACTTCATTCTTTAAATGTGTCACCAAAATGGTGACACATTTATCGAATGACTTTTGTCCATAAACGTCACTTTAGTGGTGATACCAACCAAAAACCCTTGACCTCCTCCTAAACCTATCAAAGTAGTTCTGTTGTAGAGACCTAACTCATTTTTTCCCAGATCGCCGCTCTGGTTAATGGGCACTGATGAAATTACTGACTTTAGAACAACAATAATACGCAAACAGATTCCCCCTTTTGAATTTAAATTTTTAACTTCAAGTACGACTACTTTTATGAAAAAAATCTGAGAAGGTTACTCGCTGCTTGCAATGGATAACCAGGAGAAAAATGCTTTATTTTAGTTGTTCCACTGGAATGGCACCCAAGAGAGCCCATTATCACATATTCACATCTGTATAAGGTACCTCATTACCTTTTGTTACTGGAGGCACATTCAAATGTTAAAAAGTTATGGATGAGCTAATCTCAGGTATTTCTGTTCCATTTCCTGTGATCACAACTGCTCAAACTACCAGAGTACAATTAAAAGGAACTCCATTTTGGGCTAAATGTTTTAGCTGTACCAGTGTGTATCATTACCAATGAATGTATGTCAGAAATCACATACAGTATGCTGATATTCTTGCAAATATGATTTGTACATTAATTCGGGCTCAGATTTGTAGCAGCTCTTGAATCCACAGGGACTCCCAGGGAGCTCGGCGTTTGGACTCATGTTGAAGGACACTTCTAAAGAGACCTTGTGAGTATTGATGGATGTGTTGGCTGCTGCGGAGGAACACACTCTGACCTTTGTCAGTTACTGCACAACCTATGTTAATATTTAGGGCCGCGTGTCAGACAGGCTGACATGTGACACATCCGTCTGACGTGATGGATAATGGATAAGAGAGGACACGGAGGGAGTGGAGGAGAAACACACGGCGCATAGAGAATGGTAGGAACAGGTGGTAGACAGTTTACATGGAGCACAAAGGTCAGAGCATGAATGATGTTAGAGGACCGATGGGAAGACTCACTGAGGAACCAGGACTTTGAACTGGTAGCTGTCATTCTAATATACTGTCAAAACTGTTCATGTCACTACTTGTAGTTCACATTCAGGGTCTACACCAGGGGACTCGCGGGCCACAATGGGTTCCAAAATCTGACCAGCTATTAAACCAGGAAGTCCGAATCTGTGAATATCTTTCCAGCTCTACCAAACTCCATCGCACAGATGCTGCGCTGAATTCACAGTTATTTGTGAAAGTGGGAAACTCACGTGTGGTTGATGAATGGTTCATTCTGAGACAGTTAACTGGTCTTATTCTGTGATTCATGCCAAGTAGGATCCAAAACAGTTCGCTAAACAGAACTTTGTCTCTGGCGTCAATGGTTTTACATCCAATCTTAAATATAGTGCAAAAAAAGGGTTGAATCGTAAGTCTCACGTGCCTCTCTCTCCTCAAGGCAATGCGGTTGAGGAAGCTGTCACTCATGATGACACGCCCCTCCCAGTTGATGTCCCGCCCCCTACACAACATCAGGGTCAAAAGTCTGAATGTGAAAAAAAAAGATCCCAACTCAAAGAAAAGATCCGAAAGTGAAAATATTTGAGTGAAAAGTGAAAAAGTTTTGCATCTGAAAATATAAAATCTGCAACCGAAAAATATAATACATTGAATATCAAAAACTAAATACAAGTGAAGAATGAAAAAAATATATATATTATAAAAAAGGACAAATTGTTTCTCAAGACAACTGAAGCTTCGCATTACTCTAAATACAGAATTTCTGATGACACGTATACTTCACTAATTGTTGACAACAGGGTTGCTTATAGTGAAATGTTCTACATCTAAAAAAACACATTTTAAACTGACAGGAGTTCTGTCTTTCTGTCTGAATCACAACGTGCAAGAGTCAGAAAAGGACAGTTGGTCAGTGCCTACTATGCCTGAAACTATAGCACTCTACTTCTAGAGTTACAGCTCCTCACGTGCATTGTGACACGTTTTAGTTCATTTTAAAGGTTTAAGAAAAAATTGGGAATGTTTCGAAACTTTTGATTAGTAATCCTTTATTCGGGTTCAAATATATGAGTTATAGGAATGAACAGGTGTATCCATCTGTTAAAAAATCTTTGTCTGGGACGAGCTGGAAATACTTCTCTAAGGTTCCAGAAACTTAAATTGGTTCCGTCCAACGTCGCAGTCCAAGAATACACGTGGGTTCAAACGCCAGGGGACGGGCAAGTGTGTAAATCCACAGCAAATCATTTAATCAGTGTGTTGCTAAATTATGGCTGATAATTACTTCACCTTTAACACCTCCCAGTGTCCCTGGAGGTGAGAGGCCGAAGCTCCCAGCAGACTTCTCCCTTACCCGGTCCGCCTCCCCCTTTGTCTCTAACCCCCCCACTGAATCTCTGCCTGTCCGCACAGGCTATTCCTCGTCTTGCTCCCATATGCTGCCCGTCTCCATGCGCCGCTCTATCCTCTTGATGCTAAACGATAGAGGCAGACAGAACGTCGTCATCCAGAAACCTTTAGCAGCCGGCTAGCACCGATGCTCCGACTGCCCCCCCCCCTCTCTCTGTGTTTTGTAATTGGTTTGCTGCTCTGCGCTTTGGGGGTGGGGAGGCAGGAGGAGGCTGACAGCAAAGTGGTGCCATGTAGACAGACAGGGGAAGAACAAGAAACCAGAAACAATCACACTGACTGGGCGCTGGCTGGTAGACGGCCCCCCCTCGCTGATCCACTGTAACTGGAGACAGCACAAGATTACAAAACGCAACAGCCGTGTTAGTGTTAGCATGTAGCTTCAGATAGCAACAATGTATTTACTAGTAAATTGGAGTACAAACTGGAACCATCACGTCCACCTTTCATCTCCATCTTTGCCTCCTGAATGATGGAGGTCTAGGAAGTAAAGTAAATGATGGATGGAAGCTTTAACTCGGTTTCATGGCGATGTGACCACGTCGTTGTGGCACTCTTTGATAATTAGGATCAGGTACGGGGTTTCACGGAGGTTTCAGGAGGTTGCAGTGCCGATAGAGCCCCTGCCATTGTAAAAGAAGTGTTAGGAAGGAAAAACAGAGCAGCTTTCTAGCCCTCTGTAGTTTAAGTGGGCATACGATCAAAATAACAAAAAACATGTATTAACAAAGTGAAATAAATAAATACCTATGATTATCGATTTCAGATTGAACATCAGAAGCAGAAATTACCATTTGCGTGAACTCAGAATGATCTTTGTATGAAAATGGATTGGCCCAAAGTTTTTGATTTGAGATTTGGGTAAACACACCACCAACAGTCCTAGAGAGACAAGAAGTCTTCCTCCGAGATCTCAAAGTGGTGAAACAATATCTTTTAACACCTTTTAGAGCCAAAGAGTAAATACATACACTGAGGAATCACTGTTTGTCAAGTTCTACCTGAGAA